GATACTCTCCTTGGAGGAGCTCTCGTAACAGTCGTTTCGACACCACGGGGTGATCGATCGGCTAACTGTCCGAACCGGCTGCGAGCTATGCGTGCCCGCGATGAAACAAATGTGGTTAAGTTCAGAAAACTGAGCTCATGACCAATAAGCGTTAGCTGATCGACGATTTCGGCCCATTTGTACTGCAGAGGCTTTGGTAGGGCACGGGCTAACTATTCTAGGGTGGTGGGGGAGTCCACCTCTGCCTCATAGTTCATTTGTTTCAATGTGATGTGGCAGTTCTCCATCCTTATGGCCAATTCCGACAGGGCATCTGCGTTGTTGGGAATGGACTTCGCGCCTTGAAGTAGGCCTTCTATCGATGCCCTAGCAATGTAGTGTGCTTGCCCGAAGAGGTCTCGAAGGATACGTCGAGCTCTTTCATAACCCTGACCGGGCGGCAGCATTACTCAGTTGCCAATAGCCATTCTAGCGCGTCCCTTACAGTAATGAATGCGGTAGAGCAGACGTCTTCCGTCATCTACCACCTTACTCTCCACATAGAACTCAAACTGCTTGACGAACCTCCCGTAGGCAGCTGGGCGCCCATCGAAATAAGCCAGCTCTACTTTGGGGAGACCAGCTTCCGCAATAATTGGGATGAGAGCTGACGCTATAGCATTTCCCAGCGTGGCAGTGGGGGGCAATCGGCAAATCGTCATAACAACCGGCAAATGGTTGATTTGCAACCACCGCAGCACATTCCGTGACAAACTCGTCAAATCTGTTTGACGAATAAAGGGGGAGTGCGGGTAGGTCTACATCGCCTTGTTCGTCTTCCAGCAAGGTGCTACGCTGGGCGAATTCGACCTCCTGTCTAGCCTTCAACAGTCTACGCTGTTTGCTGTTCCTGCTCCCTAGTTTCTAGTTCTGGCTGCTCCTAGGGTTGCTTTTCTTTCAACTCAGCAAGCGGGAGCTGTGAGCGTGTTCTGCTAACGGAATTTCTAGAGCTAACCCGAGAGCCAGCGTGAGAGACAGCACCAAGAGGGACTTGCCTTGACTTGGATGAGTCCTTTGTCCGAGTGGATGCGCGGGGGACTGACATTGCGAAGAGGAACCAATTTGTCAATTCCGGATACGAGTACCACTGAACCGAAGTGTCCAATTAAACAATCCGTCGGTGCGAGAACCCAATCGAATACTTCCGCCGCCAATTGAATACGGTAACGTCAACCGTGAACGTTGAATAACGCGTATCCAAAGATCCCGAAATCAAAACAAGTTGGATCACAAATACTACGGTACTATTAAAATATATACAGTTGATAATTGGGACATACTTCAATTGTTCAGTATCCCGGTATTTGCAAGTTGACAACCCGGTGTCAGTAAACAATAGGGAACGATAGGGAACAAGTTGTCTACGCCGGACAATCCAAGGAACAAGTCACCGCAGCTGAGTGCTACGAGTATTAAGACTAATGGTGTTGACCAATCAAAGGATAGTCCAATCACAGGGTGAGAGTTTAATGGCACGCATAAACATGGTGTTTGGACAAGCGACCAGTGAATGAGGGAGGGTGCGACACCTGCTTCGGGCTGAACGTGTCCTGTTCGGCGAAGAGTAGGGTTGGAGATCCAAGGTCGTCGGTAGACGCACACACACGGAACCAGTGCCGGAAGTAGCATGCACACATAGACACACCTACAACGCTAACAATGGGAAGGTAAGGAGGCGCACGTGAAACGCCGGTCGCTATCCATCAACGACCGGCCAAGCTCTGTAGACTAGACCACGAAGCTAAGAGTAGAAGAATTTCATGGGTAAATAAGCGCGTTACAGTGGGTCAACGGAAATGGCCAGGTTAGATATCAAACAGGCTATATTATCCAGGGGTAAGTAGGACCGGCTAGGATCATGAAGTAAGGGAGTCAGATAAGGCGGCACTTGTTTAGTCGGTGCATTGAGATTGAGTAGTACAGATAAGATGGAAGGAAAATAGAGAGGAGCAGCAGAAAAGGGCAGGAAAGAGCGGGAAAAGGATGTTTTGACATTGGGTGAGCAAGTTCAGCAGGTTATTGAGATAACAAAAACGGCATTGAGACTGCAGAGTCTAGAACGTCACGTCAACATCAGGGAGGACCGGAAGAGGTCACAAGGAAACAGACTAGTTAGATGTACCCAATAATTGCCCTTGCTTTTGCAGAAATATAGCGCACTTGTTCAGCAGTAGTTAGTTAGCTTGAGCAGCACACGAGGTCGCGAACGGAAGCGCAGATTTCTAGAGAATTACAGTTAAGTATTAGCGTGTTAGGTGGTACAGGGCACCTGTAAGCGAGAACCTTTCACTTTGATGGGGAGGATTCGTTACCACAAATCACAGCAGGCTTCGAGTGCATTGAGGTTGCTTCGAATAAGGGAGAGGCTGTTTTGCAGGTCATTCGGATCGAATGAAAACACCACCTTCACTTCGTCAGCCAACAGGCATGGTGTGCCGTGACTGAAAACTCGAAAAATATCATTTATGTAGAGCAGAAACAGCAAGGGACTGAGGATGCTTCCCTGGAACCAACCGCTGGTTACAGAAAACCGCATCAAAGTGATGTTACCCAATAGTACCAACTGGGTTCGATGGCTAAGGTAGGATGAAAACCAACAGTGAACGTTGCCTGACATACCAAATGCGGCTAACTTCGTGAGTAGTTCCTTGTGCGAGAATCGGTCAAATACCTTTTTCATGTCAAAGATGAATACGTCCAGTGCCTGCCCCATGTCTATGGAGTGCGTTACGTTGTACAGAAATTCAAATTGGCAAGTTTGGCATGACTTTGATGGTAGAAACCCGTGCTTGACCTGTTACTGAGGTTACGATGCAGTATGAATGCAAGCATTTCCTCATAACTATTCTCTCCATGACCCTTAAGTGCGATAGGTCTGTGGCTAATAGGACGGTAATTGTCTGCATTTTGACGTTCCCCACGTTTATGTCGAGGAACAACCGTGGCTTGCTTCCAAATGTTTGGGTAGAAGCCGCTCTTCATAGACAAAATAAAAAATTTTAGGAGGAAGACTGGGATGTCCGGACCCCCAAGTTTCAGCTGTGTAGACGAGACACCGTATGGACTAGGGTATGTGAGTTCGTCAGGGAACGAATTGCTCGCGTGCTTTTGCTCAGGCTAAAGTTGATAGTGTGCCGTAGGTCGTCAGTGAAGTTAGGTATGCTAGCTGGTACTGTCCAAATTGCGGCGGCGAATGAGCCACAGAAGTGATTGTCAAAGTAATCGCATAGATCGGCTGCATCCGGAAGTACCATTTTATCAGGGAATATGAGAGAGGTAATCAGCAAATCGGTGCGGTCACTCCGAAATTTCATAAGCCTAACAAGAGATTTTTCTTGGTTCCGGGTCCTAAGCGCTCGGCGCTCAGCTGACAACTGTTCCATGTTTAGAGAGTTTCTCCAATTGGCCAGGATTTCGTTCCTACGAATTATGAGCTGAAAGTTCTTGGTCTTATTGTAGGTGGAGCGCATTTCCTCGAGCTGGGCAAAAACTCTGCGCGTAGTGACGTCGTTGGGAGACTGTATTTTTATTATCTCGGTGTACCTTGGGGCAAGGGCGTCTAAGCAATCCGTTAGAAATTTATAAATCTCACAAGTCGCTATGTTCATATCGGTCGCCAAGAAGAAGCCATCCCATCCTGACCCTAACTTTTATTATCGCGCTCTGTTTTCATTTCTTCTTCATTTAGTGCCCGACCTGACTGCTCTGAGGCGATGTAGTCCCACTGACTAGCCTCTTTCTCTCTGAATGCTTCACTGCTACTCTGACTTAAGTGGTATACGCTATGCAGACTCAACACCTTTTCCCCCACCGAGAGATTCTGCTTGACTCGCTCACCCTCTATTGTTGCGGACTTCTTCCTGCGTTTCTTTTCACGTGTCATTCCTACGCGCCGACTAATCCACTCTCGCCAGATCGGCCACTTGTTTTCCAGTTTTACTCAGAGTTATTCCACATTACAAACTTTGGTTCGGCTGACTCAACGTCTTGTTTACATCACCTGCCGATCCTCGCGATCCCCTCCAATCCTTATCAGTAAATCTCTCGCATACCAACCCTGACCTTTTCTTAGCTCGCTTTTTGTTTTCGTTCCCATTTTTTAATCGGAGGGCAAGCTTTGCTGCCGTGCCGTGATTTAGCCGCACTTGACCTGTCAGTTTCTCTAACTACTTGTTACTGAGACTTCAGATGTACATTCTTTTCAGACTCAGCTATACGTTTTGCCTAGCTCTAGGGCCCGCTAGATTTTTCCACTTTATATTTTTCTAGCCTTTTTCTTGCCTTCATTGTAAGTCCCAATCCCAAAGCGCTGACCACTTGTTTGATCGGCCCCCTGCACTCCGAATTCACTCAAAATTATGAGACGTTAAGCTTAGTCGAGAATACACCGTTTATTTATTTATTTAGTTCGGCTATCCTAATTGACTGCTTAGTCTCTCGAAAGCCTCGTCGACTTTTCACTCTTTCAATTAAAGCCTTTCTCAATCCTACTCTGTCCTTTCCTTACCTTTGTCTTTGATTGCTTTTCAAATGGATGGCAATCTCTGTGATTTGCCTTAATCTAGTCTTTTTGACCGTATTTCTGACTTCATTCATACTACTGAGACGTATATAATCTAAGTGCCGCATACCCAAAGCATTGCTTCCCCCGAGAACTTTTCTGAACTTGCTCATGCTTTATTATCACTGCTTATTTCATTCCTAACCTTGATCCTCACCACTCGTCTTCACTGTTTAATTAAACAACTTAGCCGCAATCCACCGATTAATCCAAGCCCTTCGGATCGACCTCTCGCTACCCGGCATTGCGCAGCTCCCTGATGCGTCGTTCTCCATGGTACGACTAATCTAAAGTTTTATGAAACACATGTACATGAGATATTTAGTTTATGATGATACATTTAATGTGTGGTTCCTTAGTGTAAACACTTTTGCGACTGATCTTTGTCTCTGAGTTCCGGATGCATCGTTGTTGCTTGTTTGTGTGGCTGGCTTTGTTCGTTGTCTTTTATTCCGAGATTCCCACAGAAACGGTGGCCGGAACCCGAGGATGCATCCACTGTCTTGACCTCAACACTTCAACGAAGCACAATGCTCCCTTATCTGGAAATGGATGGATAATCCTTACGCTACCTTGGTACTTACCGGATGGACAAAACACTTATCTGTTACCTTGGATGGGTGCTACTATATTAAAGCCTGCACAACTGGGTTCAGCTCGCCTCTTCTTTACATAATTCTTATTCGGAGTTGCTGACGTTTAGTATTAACTCGGTCATTTCATATAACCGGAGGGCAGATTTTCCTGCAGGTGCTATGCACGTAATTTAGGAATATCCCAACACAATTCTTTCGCACACTATACTCTCACGATGGCAAGAACAAATGGGTTCGGCCCGTTGCACTACTGAAATTCTTTTCATTTACCATATCTGGAGCTGTCCGCATTACTTTTACCGTCCATATGTTCTTGGATGCCAAGGTCCTCAATCAACTGAACTTACTCTGGGAGGATTTCCGGTTCATTATTCAGGACAACTTGCAGCTTACTTGGGCCTGAACGGTTGCGTTTAGCCATTCTCCTCTAATACTTGGTTCAACAACATATTACTGGATAACCATCAGAGAAATTACGCGGTTCTACCGACGACCAATATAAAACGTGCCAGCATGTTCGCTTTATAGATTACCTACCGTGCAAGTCGTGCCATTTCGTCAGGAATTGACAGGACTCATAGATGATACAGTCCCGACCCTTCATGAATCAGCCAGAGAAAATTATGGGTGTATCCTGACTGCGATTAACAGAATCAATAATCGGTCAATGAGAAGCATTGCCAATTGCAGCTTGTCGTTCGAATGCGTTGATGGCAGTGTTCCAGGACGTGGTGGGTTTTCGCCTGGCAAGCGTTCTCCCTCTAAAAGCCACAAATGTCCGTTTAACAACACTGTGACGTGGCGGAGGTGACGCGCCACTGCATAAAGTCACAGCCAATAAGCTCACACTGACAAGCTGACCACGACTATGTACTTCCATGATGGATACACCCAGACACTTTCTTATCTGCATATTTCGTCGCCACGTCTTTATCTGCGCATTTACCTTTTTCTTTACGCTACACTGACATGAACACAGCGTATCGTGTAATCGCGATTGAGCGTGTGCTTCACCAGCTCTTTTCTAATTGTTCAGTCCTACTTCTGGATCTATTCATGCCGGCATTGTTACTGCACTTTATGGCATACGATTGTACCCACACAAACGTGCCCTAACTCATGGCAATGGGTTTTCTTCATATTTATTTCTATCCTATTTGTACAGTTTCAAATAGGAAAGAATGAACAACCTCCGATTGTCACTGTTACAATTGCCATGACATGTCTGTATAATTGCACTTATTTGATCAGGCCCTCGCGGGCATGCATCGCATAGCCGAGAATAAAGATCTATTTATTTATTTATTTATTTATTTATTTAGAGAATGATTTCCAGCTGATGCGGTGGAGAGGCCTTAGTGAAAATTTCCTACTATATTGTTGAGGAAGATATTTAGGGAGTAAAATATGAGCCTCACTAGCTTGTGCTCATAACCATGCAAATGGTTTAACACTTTCGCTCATGCGTGGTGTATGCCTTTTGTGAATAGCAGTTCCAGTGTGTTTGGTTTTCTCGTGGGAGCTTGCACACCTTGAGTCCAATCATGTGTAAAAACAGTGTCAACGAGGGCACTATATCTGGATGGTGTTGACTTCTCAAGCCACGACATATTGGGCATACTGAAATCACCACCAATTATCTTATAGCGTGCTGACACGTGTGCTGCTTCATGAAATAGCTTTACCAGATCGGTGCTCCTAGAATAGGAGGAATTAGGTGGGTTATACACACACCCGATTAGGAAGTCCAATTGGCCTCGATGGATTGAATCCAAACGGAACCTTCTGGTTTGCCAATGGAAATAGTTTGGAACGTTGATGCATGGAAGTCATTGTTGAAGTAACTAAGAGAGCCACTTCCACGTTGATTAGCACGTCTATTGCGGAAAATAGTCTAACCTGGAACGTGCAGCAGCGCATCAGAGGCGGCAGGTGAGTGCCAATTTTCCGTTATAAGGACTGCATGCGGACTGGACAACAGAATGATAGGTCCTAGAAGATGAATTTTATGTTTGATTGATCTCGTGTTGACGAGGAAAAGTTTATATGAACCGGTATGTAACCCAGCTGAGTTTGCGGTCAGTGTTCAATTCATGGCAGCAGGGATAGCAGTGCCAGGGTCCGCGTTACCAAAGAGCAGGTCAATTTGTATGAGTGTGTTCGTTTGGTTACCATGCTGAAACGACGCAGAAGAGCCAGACTCGTGATTGCGTGAAAGGTCATTGGTGATAACTGAGGTATTTGCTTGGAAATGTTGGTTGGGTGAGTTGAGTGCCCCGGATTTCTGTTCCGAAGGCGGCGGAGGGATACGTTGATAGCAGCCGGCCGCCGACGAGTCAATTGCGGTATTGAGGTCCATATGGGTTAAGCTTAGGGCTGGAACCAGCCGCTTTGGGTTGGCTGAAGTGCATAAATGCGTCTCTGTAGACAGTATAAAGTGGGTGCGACATCTTGGAGGACTGGGCGTGGTGGACCATGCGCTGTTGTATTCGATAAAAAGGGCTGCAGCAGATGTAACACTTCTTATTGCCCTGACGTTCTGCAGAAGTCCTGCTGCGTGGTAGCGATTAGTCGAATTATAAGGAGCTGAGGTATTCCTACTGGATGTTCAGTTAAAAGCAGCAGCAGTCTGCCGTCTTCTACTGGGCACCGTACACCCTTCTGTTTTGAACTGATAATGGTAAGCTGGAGTTTGGGCAGTTTGCTTTGTTGGTTCGAGTATATGCGGTTTTCTGAATGATTGGCTAGATCTGGTCGGAGTAACAATCCCGTGTAACGCTCGATAACCCGGCGCAGTAGGTGCAACAGTCACCGGATGTATCGGTGAAGGCTTCGGTTTGCTACAGTCGTTAGTGTTTCGGGGTTTGGTGCGAATGCTGAAGTGCTTTGTTGGGTTTGGGGTATCGAGTAGGTAGTTGCTACGAGGAGACTGAGCTTCGATGACAATAGACTTCGGACCAAGGTGGGAAGTGTAGGTCCTGTTTTGTGCGGGTGAGCGATCTAGTGGCGTGGTATTTCTCATACTGGCAATGAGTACGCCATATCGACACGTTTGGCTGTAGTCCTTTTGCTGTACTGATACGGATTCGCTGAGAGCCGATGAGGGAGGGCTGTGAAACGCCGTTGCTTTGCGTTGCTTGTAGCTTGCGTTGTGTCGTTAGCGATTTGCTTGGGGGCATTGACAACGCTAGCTAATGGTCTAGCTACTGATAGAAAGTCCACGCTCTCAAGTACAGTCTGTCGCCCAATTCAGACATATCAACAGGCGGTGTACTGTATTCAGTCGTGTCTTCGACAACAGCCGAGTTTTCAGCTGATAGTACGGATTTGACAACGATATCTTTTGGCCGTTCTTTGCCTTTTAAGGGCCTTTTAGCATCGTGGTCTGTTAGTCGCTGTGAGGAATCCAGGTCATTGTTGCACAGCATCGAGGAAGAGGCGGTGTGGGTTGCAGTTTCTTAAATAAATAAATAAATAAATAGTTTATTCTCGTCATTGCGAGGCATACCGTCAAGGGCGTGATCATGGTAATACAAACATATATGATCGGCAATTGCACAACGTAGTACATTTTTATGACCAGCTTAGTAATTTATGTGTGTGTTGACATGTAAAATTATGTTTGTGTCTGTATTTGGAAGTAACCATGTTGCGTGTGCAGGTAAAGGTGACGCATTCTATTATCGCTTCTGGACCATAATTTACTCTGCAGAGTATTTAATCCTGCGCTGTTTGACCGTTGCCTCCGTTATTTCACTAAAAACAGCTTCTCACCACTTAACCTCCATAACTCTCACCACTTTTGCTTAACGCTTCTTTGCATTATAGTGCTTCGGTCCCCGCATGGTCTACCTTCAATGCTTTCAATAGTTTCGGTATATTCTTAGCGCCCGCTTGATAAGTCAGTCCTTGCTAGCTTCACTGCAATATTTTGCCTGTCCTTCTTACTCCTTTCGGACCATGTCCATATTCTGGTTTCTTCGGTCACTGAAACATAAGAATAACTCCGACATGAGATATGTTCTCGCTTCTGTAATGGTTTATACGTTCCCAATTTCCATAATTAATAAATAAACGGTTTATCTTTGGCAACGCGAAGCACGCTTTTAAAGGCATGCTCACGTGGTGATAACCAAGTGTGCATAAAATTGTACCATCATACAACTTGCTGGTCATAACAGTGCATGTGTGTATGGACATTTATAACTGCGCGTAGGGGGTACATTTGTAACTGGGGTTTTTAAGTGTGCCCTTGTATTTGTGACGGTTTGCCAGCGTCGACTATTTAAGGATAGACAATTGATGTCCATGAGTGGGAGGTACCTGTTCAGCTATCACAGCGCCGTGACTAGGTTGTCTCGAGTCACATTCGACACGTCACAGTGCTGTTAAACGGACATTTGGGGCTGTTTATGAGAAGGACTCTGTCCAGGAGGAACTCCACCACATCTTGGAACACTGCTGCCCTACTAATTGCTGAAACGTGTTACGCCCAAGCCAAGTAGCTGTCACAACGTGAAAGTTGTTCGGCGAGCCAGCTTATCGAGTTCACTCTTCGCGTTATCCATCCGATGTATGCTTGACATCACCTGTCCTACTAGACCACAACGGCCTTTGATTTGGCCTTGTCTCCCGAACCTCGTACCATGAAAAATAATGATGATCACTGGATTGTGCACCGCGACACCAGTACCACGTCTTGTTTGAAGCTGTCGTCTTATTTAAATAACCTAGACCACGGAGGCCCATACTGTAAAATTCAGAAGGCCTACTTCTTCTACAGCCCGAGGCCGTCTTAACGACGGTGCGAAGCAACGCTACAGCGCCGCATAACTTAACTTTCTCTCACCTCATCGTCTGCCCACAATAGTTAGTTCCATGCTCCTCGTCCACCACATTTTCTTCCTCCCCTGTTTATCACTTTATTGTTTGAGTTTTGTCTTTATGCGTCCCACATGTTTACATCTGTTTAGCTGAATA